ATTTGGATCACGAGCGATGGCCCAAACGTTCACGAGAAGTGTTGAGCCTTTTGGAATGAAATAGCCATTAATCTCACAACTCTCGGATGCAATTCTAGGGAGGGAGAGAGGGGTGGATGGATGAAGCCTTAAGGTTTCCTTGACTATGGCTTCCAAATAAGTTAATTGGGCTAGGTCGGATTCCATCACGAGCCGGTTCTTTCCAACCACTTTGTCAATCTCATGTTGGGCTTGGGCCAGTATTCTTGGATTACGAATAAGCTCCGCAATGGCCCATTCTACTGTGCTTGAGGACGTGTCTGTTCCAGCTATAAACAAGTTCTGCAATAATTCACCAACACAGATTTTAAAGTTATGGGAACAAGCATTCATTCATTGGAAGAACACCATCAAAAGTACCCTACTGTAGAAACCACTAAAATAAAAATAAAAATCAACTACTAAATACGGAAAAAAAATTATCTGGTCTTCGAAACTTATTCGTCCAAATTGACAATATCATGAATTTCTCAACGGTGATAACCACATCCCTTCCCTTAAGTAATAAGCACTAACTCGTTCTAAATCAATAAAACCAAAACAAAATTAAGAAAGTTGCTTTGATTAATTAAACTGGGATTAGTTATCCCATCCTTCCAATGGGATAAAAAAATACTATAATCTCAGGAAAACTAATCCCGAGATTAATTATACCACAATTTTATCTCAATCAAACATGAAATAAACTTTAATCACAAGGTTAATTATCCCTAAGGTTAATTATCCCTGATATCAAACAAGTGTTAAGTGGTTGACAGCACCATTTACCTCAACAGCCCCTCTTAACAAATACTAATCCACTTATTAGTATTCTCATTGGCTGCTACAATTACCCTATTTTTGCGAGCATAAAGACGTCTCTATTTTAATATTGAAATCTTTGTTTATTCTTACGTTCCACAATTTTCTTCTAAAAAGTTTTTGTCGAAGTCATTGAATCATTTGGAAGGGGTGGCTCAAAGTAAGGGAAAGGCAGGACGTACCAAAGCAGTTTGAGATATAGCAAAGAAACGCTAAAAATGAGATCTCTTTCACGAGTTTGCTTAACCTTATTTTTGCTGTTTATTAAAATCTCCATCTTTATTCCATTAACACTCTTGGATAAAAAACATGAGAATGTTGCAAAATTCAAGCAGAATGGCTCCAAGATGTGCATGTTAAACAAATCCAGAATTTAAACTTAATGAATTCCTACAAAATATATATAAATATTTAATAGAGTAATAAAAAACTACTTTTACATAAACTCGTAACCAATCCTCCAGTTCTTCTTTGCATATATCAAACACATCAAGTTGAATAAAAAAATCTATATGCAATATATATCATCCTTTAAAGTATATCATAGTTTGATACGAACCCAGATCGGCATATGTATTGGTCTGTACGTAGTTGCCGATTCAGGTGCGTATCAAGCTTTGACATACAAAGGCTATCAAAAGCTGCTGAAGCAAAAAGAGAAATGAACCAAACTAGGTATGAATGATGACCGGCTTCAGAAGGTTGCTAGGTTTATATAGCTGAATGGGGTAATGGTAAAGAAAATCTCAGCCGTTGATTTGTGTTTTACTATAGTATGTTTGGCGGCTATGTTTCTACGTCTAAGGAAACCCTAGTTCTATTAAATTACATGTTAGCCCTTCTGTGATGACATTATTAACCTTCACGTTATTGGGCATTTCTTCATGTTTTTCTATTAATTTAAATTATAGTAACATTAACATCATAAAGATTTTTTTTTTTTTTTATCCAGCCATATTTTATTCAAATAATTAAATAATCTATTTGTTTTAAAAAATAATACACTCATTGTCAGATTAAGTGTCAGTCTAACCTTATCAAACTTGTATAATGTATAACGTTACTTGTACGAAAAAGTTAGACATTACATATTCGTTAAGTTCTTGTTATTCAAATTATATATCACTCTTTTCATTTTGTGACATTAAAGACAGCGACTCCATTTCATTTCTATGTATTTTATAACTTTTCATAATTATAACAATAATAATTTTACATCAGTTTGGATCATATATGAATCCTCAATTCTTCATTTAAGCGATGCTCAAATAGGCTAAGATATATAAATTTTACTTTTGATGTTACATTAAATCATTACTTCAATATTTTCTTATACTATCATAATACAACACATAAGTCAAATTAGCTTAGTATTTAAACACGATCTTAAGCCTAGTATCATCACTACACACAGGGGCGGACCCAGTGCATAGACGAGTTTCCGGGAAGGAGGGAACCCAATAAATTTTGGGTAGACTCTGTGTTAATATTAAGAAATTCACCAAATATTAGTAAATATCTGACTGTGAACCCAATTATTATTGCATATTAATCTGAAATTACGGTAGGAACTCATAAGTCTAACATCCTCGATCCGCGTCTGACTAAACATGGAAATTAGAACGGAAAGCAATTGTTAATTGATCGTTTGAGATGTTTGGTTTAAGAAAGAGAGAGGCGTACCAAAAGTAAAGCTTTAATTTCTGAATCTGTGAGCTTTCCTCCTTCATTATCGCCTTCTTCTTTTTTCAAAGAGATTAACGTACTCAACAAGTCTTCATGTTCTTTCGTTTCTTCAAATTGCTTGCTTTTGTGTTCCTCTAGAATTGAGGTCAAGAACGCGTCGAAACGCGCGTGGAGCTTTTTCATCTTTGCAGCTACACCTTGTATGTCCAACCAATCAAGTGCCGGAATAAAATCGCCAATATTGAAATTGCCGGCGAGCACCATTGCTTCCACCACCATTGACTTGAACTCTTCCGCCTGTGGATCAGCGCTACTTGCGTCAGCGAACACCCGCCTCCCTAGCATCACTCGCGCAAGTGCATTCGTGGTGCACACGTTCAACAGTTGGCCTAACTTGACCGGCTTTTGCCCAGCACTCGCTAGGGCGCGCGTAAGTGTTTTTACTTCATCCTGCAGTTGTGATTAGGACGACATTTAGTAACTGGTGAAAATAATACCATATTCGTTTCAATTTACAAGAACCTATTTGACTCGACAGACAATTTAAGATAGAATTATTTTTTTAACTTGCGATATAAAATAAGATATACAGTATATATTTTATGTACCCATAAATTATTAAGACTAAAAAGGAAATAAATTCACATAAATTAAAATAAATTCGCTCCTAATTAAGCACTACAACTGTAAAGTACGATCTAAAACGTGACCTAATAATTAAATTTAAACCTCACCGTATAGAACTTTTTATTGCTTCTAAAGCCACAGCCACAGGTTCTCTTTACTTGTCATATTACTAATCTTTTTGCGCTTTTAAAAAAAAAGTTGTTTAATTAATTTGTCCTTATTCCTTCTTTGATCTTTCACTCCATTAATCTTTCTTTAAATAAATGCTCAGTGTGTGTATTAATAGGACCTTTTTTTTT